CTCAAGAAAGAGATATTATTTTTTGTTTTATATAAAAAATTTCGTTACTAAATCCAGGGGACGTAACAAATAATGTATAAGTCATTTGCAAATTTTTTTCACGAATAAACTCTATAATAACACACATAACACTAGTGGTATTTGTGTCCTGCAAACCTGGGGTAAATTTGCGGTTTGTTTGGTTTATGCTATATTTTTTATCAGAAGGCAAGTCTGGGCGAGCTTTCGCGACCTCTTGCGACATCATTGTATATACGGCCCGACAGGACATTCAACCGCGAGATGAAGGCGGTGTTTTATGTGTTTTTCGTCGCTTCTTCTGGGGGTCCTCGTACCAACAGGTACAAACGGGAAGACAAATAAGAGGGCGCCACCTAATCGTTGTACATCAAGTACATTCAAGAGGTACAGGTGAACAACGACTATACCGACAACATCTCCTCGACATCTAAAACGTAATTGACAATCGTCTACAGTCATCGTCATCGAATCGGTATGCATTCGTCACCGTCGTCTGCCACCCTCTCCCACCCCGATACCGAAGTAAGCATAGTCCTTTAAATAGCATATCCGTCCCCATAAAGTTGATTTTAAGTTGCTCCAGGTCAATCTTTTCTACAGGGTACGTTTCCAGGCCTTGTAGTTTTACAGATTGAAGGTAGGTAGGTAGGTAGGTAGGTAGAAGAGAGGGCGAATAGGGCACCCAGCCCCAGCGCCTCCCATCGTCAAGGCGTCTCTCGGGGTTTTGAAGAAAAAGGACCGGTGTAGTTGGTCGAGACTGACCCCTAGGGTTTCCGCAGGATCAACGGTCGCTTCTCTATATTGAGGGAGGTAGACACAAGATCCAGATGGGGAACCAGAGAAGGGTCGACCCGTGCAACGACACTTGTGGAAGGGATTCCACGCGGCGTCAACCGTAGGATTCGATCCACGGGCTTGGTGGAGTTGACGCAGGAAAGCGTGCTGCGCTTCCTCCTCGCCGAGTTGAGGCTCAGGGAGGGACCTACTGGCGGCTTGAAGAGTGGACGAGTAGGGATTCCCACTCTGGTGCCGTCGGTGGGACGCTCTTTTTGGGTAGAGCCGGATTGAAGCGAAATACTTTAATCACACTATATATAACTTCATTTGGCCGTCGAAATAGTTGCAGACGTACATTAGTTGTCGACCTGACGTCTCCAGTTTATTTCTTTCAATTTTAAGTTTGTTTTGGTTGTTATAAATAACAGTTAATTGTGAACTTGATATGTACAATAATGTCATCTTTATGACACCTATACACATTACAAGGAGAGCCGCGGACCGTAAATTTTTATTTGTCTCTTTTATTTTCTATTTTATCGAAGAACTTTTTAATACACCGTGAATTTTCACAAATTAAAAATCTATTTATTTTATTTCACATCGTCGTCGAACTCGAAGGGAACAAAGAAACAATTGGCAAAGTGTAGTACTGAATTGTCAAAGTCTGGCTAATACTTGTTATAGTCAGAAATGTGTAGTAGTTGTTAAACTTGTCAAAATTTCAAAGAGAAAGAACCAAGTGAGATATAAGGGAGTGAATGATACAAAATAACAGTCAAACGATTCTCGACCTCGAATGAGCTTGGGCTCTAAAAAAAATTTTATAACTTCAATTTACGTAGTTAGACCACGTGAAACTCTCGTTGTACCTCCTCTAGATCCTAAGTAGAAAGTTGTGGTATACCTTTGTCCTTGACATATTGCTAAAAAGAAAAACCTATAAAATGTTTAGTGGAGGGGAAAGATTTTGAGATAAAGAACAATAATAAATTTGTGAAAAACAATGACAAGTATCATAAAATATCCGGATGGACAAAAAGTAAATCAGAGTAATTATTGATAGTACTAGTATAATCCACCCGGAATTGGAGTGACTCGACTACCAATAAAACTCGGTCCTACTGCGAGAGAAGGTGGACCAACCTCTTTCGAGAAATTTAAGCAATCGTATCGATCGAATTGGTCTACGACTTATCTTCTTGTCTAGCGCGCTCGCCAACGAATGTTGTTTCTGTGTCGGTGCGTTTGTGACGCCGTATACATGACGAGGGCATACCCATGACGAGGAATCCATGACGTTATAAACTTCCCCGACCTCGCCGCAACACGAGAGACAGTCGTGTAAGAAAGTCTGCTCTCTATATGGTACAAGGACAAAGGCCGGAGCCAGAAAACTGTGTTGTAAGTACTTGAATTGTGATTTAAAAAATAAGTACATGATGGCATGTTTTTGCGCCAGATCAATACTTTCTTCATCCCAGACGTGTTTTGCATCAGCTGTTGACTTACATTACACATTCATGATGAAACCATTACCTAGGATGGTAGGTGCTGAAGTGCAAACCTGTCTTTTATCCATTAACAAAGATAATTTCCCACTGGGATCTATTAGATGCTTAGGGCGGATGTTTGGAAACGTCTCTTGAGAATGATGAAAAACCTCAGTGTCTGTTGCGTCACATCTCTCTGACTGTATGCTAAACTCCATTGTGAAGAGAATTCATGCACAGCTTCATGTTAGTGATGAAATATGTTTCACAGGGCTGGTTTGGCTTTGGACATTGGACACCGCAACAGATTCTGACTCTACTCTACCTGTCTGCCGATCTGGTGTTTTTATTGTGGCGGCTGATTGCATAAATGCAAGGAGAAACACTATCCCTGGCTTACCTAGAAGATTTAAAAGAGATGCAACATTACGGCACATCAGAATGGTTTGCACCAATGTGATTATGCCTTGACATATTTTCCTCTCCTTGACTTGAAGTGTTAACCCAAGGCAAACATCTCTTAAGGTGAACCACACAACCTCCGTGGAAAAATGTTTTAAATTATCATTCAATTCAGTTCTCTGTGCTCTCTTTTTGAGTATGATTTGGTATCACTACTGAATTCAAATATATGTTCTGCTAATAAAAATAAGACCACTAGTGCTCTGGGATCATTCACTTTGATTTTCATGCAGACATATATTCATATATGATCCCTATGAACCTTTTCAGGTAACTTTTATTGCAATTATCGTTGTTATTTTGTATTGCACGTTTTTACTTTTTTTTATAAGTAAGTTATTTTGTTCGTTCTAAAATGTAGCAACTGTCACAAAACAACATTTCCTCCACAGGATAATGACATTATTCTGATTCTGATTTGACTTCCATGATGAAATACTGATCAGATATGTTGATGTCAACCACGTTTTCTTTGCATTCTTTTGATGAACAAGTAAGCCGATGAAACAGCAAATCCTATAATAATTGCACAGAATGACAAGTTACTCTATATATCTATTCTACAACATTACCACTGCCACTTCTTATAGCAGCCTTTTTATTTCATCTATACAAAGAACACTGTGAAATAATACAGTGTTCGTGTTCTCTTTTTTATTCCAACATAACCCTTGTGTTGTGTTCGAAAGCTGGTACCGTTCATGGTGTTCGCGGGTCAATTTTGACCCATGATTTATCTGAGTCCAAAACACTCACAAATAATGACTATCATCCAATATTGTTTTAACTACATCCTAACTAACTTAAAATGCAGCCATTGTTGTCATTTAATTGTATGGCCCCAAAACACATTACACCACATATTGCACACGTGCATGTGTGTGTTCAGGTTCAAGTGTTAGTGGACATATTATTTGTGAAAGGTCGAGTTCCCGTGGGGGGAGGGGGGCCAGAGGGATGGGAGACCAGGTGCATGTTGCGAAAAAAGTATTGTTACAGTGGATGAAGGGGGAGGGGTGTCTAAAGTCAAAGATGAATCTTGATGGGGTTAAATTTGACCCAGAGTCACCCCCAACAATGCTGCCCGGTCTTCCCAGACCCGAACACCAAATTATACACTTTTCTTTTTAGAGACCTTCAGACTTGGCAAAAATAGTCAAACTCAGTTTTGTAGTGTTTACATAGCTGTTGTGGAGTGGAGGATATCATGAAGCCTTGTTCCGATAAAAAAAAGTAGAGCGTAGTTATTATATCATTTTAACTTGAAACGGGTCACGGGAGACCCGAACACAACAGAAGGGTTAAATGTACACTTTATGACATAATGACAAACATCAGTTAATGAGGCAACAGATGGTGGGTATTTAGTCAATGCATACTTTACTTTTATGGATTATTCACTTAAAAAAGTAGTCTAGAACAGTGAAATAGACATGTTGTTAAAGGTGTGCATGCTCTTTTATATATACAGGAGTATAACATTGTTATTTTACCTAAAGGTTGAGGGAATGCTGAGTGGAATGATTCAATAAACATCTTTAGAGCTAGAGTGGTTTTTGGTCCAAAAAGGAGCTGCTGTTTTATAGCAGGTTCTTCAGGATGTGTGCCACAGCTTCTGGGAAACTGTCACATGTCAGGTGGGGGAGAGGCTTGATTTTATCCTCATCTCCTTCTCGGTATTTACCTAAAACAGAAATTGGAATGCTATTAATGACAAAAAACAACAATGATAGCAAAACAATGTGTTCACAAGTCTATGTTGGAAGAAGTACAGCGTGCCAAAAAATATAAACAACAATCCTATAGTATGTAGGAAAAAGAACAAAACTCACAGTATAGTTTATTTAAAAAATGAAAAACAGTCATAGTATGTATTACATATATATATATATGTCATATAAATGACATAGTATTGTACATTGAAAATATCACAAAAAACAACAAAGTATAGTATGTGGAAATGATCCGAAAAATCGACATAGAACAGAAAAATAAATGACAAAACAACATATTAGAGTGTGTCAAATAATGTAGTGTATCAAAAGAAATATCAGAAAAAAAGACACAGTATAGAAAGTTAAAAGAAATCTGAAAAAACAAAAAATTATTAGTATGTCGGAAAAAAATAGTATGCAGAATGTCTTAAAGTATAGAAAGTCATAAAAAGTCATAGTATAGTTTTCCATAAAAAAGAAGAAAAAATAAAAAAGGACGTTTCTCACCAGTTCTGACCAGTATTCCCAACATCCCTGCGTTCTGTGCTCCGCCCACATCATCTCTGGCATCCTATGGGAAAGCAGCACAAGCCATTGAAAACATCATTTGATTGGCCTACACATTGTTCCTACAGGCCGCTGCTGAAACGGTTAAAAGTTGTTTCCCACAGATCCACGAGCTGAGATTCCTATCAGATAGTGAAAAGTAAGGTATGATGGGTAAAATTACGTTTTTTAAAAGACATTTCTATTTGGAGTGCGACTGATCTCCGGTTTGATTCCCAACAACAGCCCACTCTCTCTGTGCCCTTGTTTACATTAATGTATGTATAATGTATGTATACACTTACATCTCCTATCATGACAGCTTCAGTGGGGCTACATTCTAAATCAGACAGGGCCTATTAGAAGGAAACACAAAGGCCTTGTTAAGAGGTAGAAACAAAACAAAATAAATACAGAACTCTGATTCATACATGGGTTAAGAAGTTGGACGAACTACAAAACTTCTAACCTGTGTGAAGAAACACTTTTCAGGCTTTCCCACCACAGTAGCTCTGCAGTCTGCAGCGAACTCCAGCCCCGCCACAAAGGGCCCGGGGCCGAGGGCCAAACCATCCGCACGTTTGTAGTATCGAGCCTTATGGATGGCGATGAGAGGAGCTCCTTCCAGAACCATCCTGGACAAAACACACACAATTATACACGCTTCACTATCAACCGTAATAACCAGGGGCATAAAGCTCTAGATTGTGTTTTCACAGAGGTACGGTCTCTCAATGACTCAGCAATTTCAAAGTTATAGATGATAGACATCCACTTTTTGGGAAAATGAAATAAGAGACTAATTAGAAACGGACTGTAACTGTTATCTCAATATTTGTAACGCACATGTTTGTGACCCACTGATGGATGTGTCACCTGAAAGCCTGGTTGAGTGTCTGGTAGTTGAAGTGATCAGGAGAGAGTCCGATGACAACAGCGTTTGGCTCTGACGTGTCAATACCTAAGAATTGGAATTGATAAAAGTCAATAAGTTATAATATTGATATGATTTTGTATCCAACATGTCATGTATTAAATGTTGTAATTAAATGTAATGATATAAAGATTATTTGGAAAGGGAAACCATTTATGTAGCTGTCCATCATCTTTTAATACTATTCATCCCAGGAAGTTTCAACCCTCCTCACAAGGAGGTCAAAGGTCAAGATCAGCAGGGCTCAACTTTTTTATAACACTTACAAACTACAAAACAAAAGATTTCTCTGAGAAAAGACAGAAAGATCAATAACACATAACAATGTCATTGAGCGCTTTGGAAACAATTCAACAACTACTCATTGAAAAATTGTGCACGTACAGTAAGATTTGGCTTTGGACCCCTTAAAATAAACTGATGGCTATCGGTTGAATAGACACACACACACACACACACACACACACACACACACACACACACACACACACACACACACACACACACACACACACACACACACACACACACACACACACACACACACACACACACACACACACACGGAGGGTCCGCCACATTAAGTGCTGTTCCAAACCAACGAGTGTGGAGCGGTGTGGAGGGGGAGTGGGCTATCAAGCTCTCAAACAGCGAGTCTGCATCGGGTGCTGACTGGAGACCGGTCTCTACCTGACCGGAGTCACGCTGTGTGTGTCCGTCAGGAAACACGCTGTTAACAAGTAGTTCCTGCAAACATCCGCTGATAAACTGCGATGTTAACAACCTCATGATAACCTCATATTTGTTTAACTTAGGATCGTAGACCTGTGATTAGTCTATATAAAGTTGTGTATATTTACAGATTGTTGCAAAAACTAAGAAGCTTATAAACATCAGGTTTAAAACTAAAAGAGCTTTACAAAAAAGTAACACAATTAAAAGACATTTGGAGTTTTATTTGAGTTATTAATTTACATTTTTTGTCTAACAGATGCTGATTTGAAACCGTTGTTACATACAGTTACGGCATTTCCTGTTTCTGCCGGAGAGAGGGGAGGCCGTCCCAAAGCTGGCTGTATTTAATCCCT